GTCGTGACTTTCGATCAAGGAGAACTTGAGAGTCGAACTCCGGTGTAAGCCGTGACTTCGACGGTGAATTGAGAGTAAAAGATTCGATTGATAGTAGATAGGATCGAACTCCGACTAGGTTACAGTCGTGACTTTCGATCGAGAGAACTTGCGTGTCGAACTCCGGTGTGAGCCGTGATTTCGACAGTGTATTGAGAGTAAAAGAATCGATTGATAGTAGCAATAACTGCGACTACTGTTCTGCGACTTATAGTCGTGACCTGCAATTGAGTTAAAAGCTCTTGTCGAACTCCGGTGGTGTACGCCGTGAATTCGACCTGTGTCTGAAAATATAGATTCGATTGTAAGGTGGACTAGGATCGATACGACATATTTCGACTAGTTGGTGAGTCGTGATCCTAGATCGAGAAAGGGTTGGTGTCGAACTCCGGATAAGCCGTGACTTCGACTTTGAACTAGTGGTCGGGAGTGATTGATAGCAACTGTGGAATTCTGAGCGTGGTCTGATTTCTCTCAGTTTGTAACCTATTTATTCCTTTCGATCGCTCATTTGATCATCGAACTCCGATTTTTTTTGATCGTGATTTTCGACAAGTAGCACGCTTGAAAGTCAAGCGTATCTCTCGTGTGACCATCGTGAAGTGCGTTTCAACAGAGGTGGAAGTTCTGTGAATAAAGATTACTTTTCCAGAACAAAAATGGCTCACTTAAATGAAGACGAATTACTGCGCACGCCGGTCGACGATGAAGAAATGTTCGACGAGAATGTGAGTGAGATTTTCTTGAAGGACTTTGATAGATTATCAAATAAGTTGCTCAGCCAGGTGGCTACCGTAGGGGTCACTTGTGACAATGAGTTAGCAAAATCCATGCGCACTGACGACCCCAGACGGGACAGTGTGGCAGCGTCAGTTAGGGAGCAAGTAGCGTTCGTTAAAGAAATAGCGAAGGCAACACTCGCCGAAATAAGCGAGCTGAGTAGGCCTAGAAGTAGCAGAACGCGTTTTTGATCTCTTGAGGGAAGTGCAAATCAGCAGCGTAAGTCAGCTGCAAGAGCACATAAAAAAATATACGGCAATGACTAAAATAGTAGAAGAGGCGTGCGGAATTTTGCACTGTCATGATTCTGAAGTAAGTATGAGAGCCAAAGGATTATCCACAGCCTTGAGTGTAGAGAGGCAGACTTCCGACGAGCTGCGTCTGCAACTAATTCAAAAGGATTTACAGATCGAACAACTGCGCCAAGAGGTGGAAGAGCTGGGGCAACGTAAGGCAAATGCCCCCATGGATCATGATAACAGCGCCGAAGCAGCTCAGGGTGAGTCCAATTCAATGAGACAACATGATTCAATGGAAAAACGGCATGTTATTGGCCAACCATTACAGAGACACTCCTCAAGGATCTGGACGCCATCGCACCAGCAGTGTTACGAGACTATGCGGAGAGGAGACTTCGAGCAATGTCACGAAATGCGACAATCATCGGCCACAGGTGAGGCGATTGAGTTTTCACTGGGTGATTACATTCGCACCATGTCATTGCCAGAAGTACAGCCTTTTTCTGGTAGGCCAGGCGAATGCTTTAAAAGATTTGTGAACTCCTTTGATATGAAGTACCCCAAGGAAAAGTGGAGGGACTCTAACAGAGTGCAATTATTTCAAAGTTTCCTCAGAAAAAATGCGCTGACGGTATTCGAGACTTTGCCAAGAGAGATACGTGAAGGTACGTACGATGGGGTGATCGAGGCAATGAAAGCTAGAATGCGCATAGATGGGAATAGTCAACGCGTTAAAGCCCTAGCTAATCTGCGCTTACTAGCGTTGAAACCTGGTCAGCCGCTTAGCGAATTCTGCTTTGCCTTAGAGGGCCTAGCGAATAGGGCATACCCAGACATGCCACCTGAAGCAACCTCGTTGCAGAAGGCCGAGATTCTATGTAGGCAGCTAGCTAACTGGGAGGGAAGTTACTGCCTTACTGAGGCATTGGAGACCAGTAAGTGTGAAGAGGCTTATGAAAAAGTAAAGGAGGCAGCCCTAAGGTTAGAGAGAAGCCTAAAAACAGCCGAAGAGTGCAGACGGTTAGATCAAAGAAGAAGTGAAATTAGGCACGGGCAACTTACCTTTAGACGAGGCGAACCGATCGACGACAGAAGCCCAAAAAGTAGCCCGAGAAGCGACCCGGAAAAAGCATCTAAACCTACGATAGGACACAGACCGCAAACCGCGCCCAATTTTCAAAAGAAAAAACGGGAGAATGGTTCACCAAGGTGCTATAACTGCGGTAACATGGGGCATCTAGCCAAAGATTGTCGTGATAGACTTGGCAGGCAACAAAGTACCCCATCAACAGTGAGTGCTCAGCAGAGGCCTAATGCAGCCTACGCCTCCCTAGTAGAAAAGTGGGTGTGCACATCGTTTCGGGTACCTGAGTCGGAAACAAGTGAGCTGTTTGGGGACAAGCCGCTGGCAGGTATAATGCTATGTGGTATCGAAGCAACGGCGCTATTAGATACAGGCTCCCAAACGACCATCATTCCAGTGAAACTGTTAAAGAAAGCGATAGATAAAGGTATTGATCTGGACGAACACATTGAGCGCATACCCGGACCGAATACCAAAGTGCGAGACGCTTCAGGGAATGTAATGGAATTTCTGGACACTATCCGGGTATCAATAACACTAGAAGGTCCAAGTAGAAATGGTATCAGCTTTTGTGGGAAGAACTCCAGACGAGGTGGTGATTTTGGGCACCAATGCTCTGGAGTTGTATAACCTAAGGCTGTTGAAGATCCCTGACACCAAAAGTGAGCAGTTGACCAGTAGCACAAATCCAAGTGTAGCCGCCAGAGTCAAAAACAGGACTTATGTTCCGTCCAAAGCGGTAGGCATGCTAAAGTTGACATGTTCACGGGTTTCTGCAGTAGATACGCCACTCCTCTGCTCTAGTCACCCATTCATACCGGATGGTATATGCTGCTCGACAGACAGAAATGAGGTCAGCATACCTGTAGTTAACCACTCCAATGAAGGCTTAGTTTTCAAAAAAGGAGAATTAGTAGGTGAGTGGGAAGATAACGCTTGGATTAAGCCAAGGTATATCGAGCCTGACAGGAATATGCTGGATCTGGATAGACCTAGAGTGGCTTCTTCCGAGAGTCGGAATGATAGGCTAATGAAAATTATCCTAGACCAAAATCCAATACCTGATAAAGCAGCAGCGTTGTTGAAGGAATTTAACGATGTGTTTGCTGTAACCGACGCAGAGTTGACGCAAACTGATCTAGTGGTCCACGAGATCGACACAGGGGATCATAAGCCCATAAGGCAAAAAACTAGGCCTGTTCCCATAGCAGCACGCAAGGAATTCAAAGAAACTATCAAAGATCTGGTAGGAAGAGGCATAGTTGAAAGAAGTTCCTCTGAGTGGGCGTCTCCGGTGGTTTTGGTAAGGAAGAAAGATGGCACTCTGAGAGTATGCATAGACTACAGAGAGTTGAATAAGGTGATTCGGCAAGATTCGTACCCCTTACCAAAAATTGATACCGTGCTACAATGTCTCGCTGGGAAGAAAGTCTTCTCTACGATGGACCTCGCCTCCGGATATTGGCAAATACGTCTGTCCGAAGATGCGAAACGGAAAAGTGCATTCACAACGAGTGAGGGCTTGTTCCAGTTTACGGTGCTGCCTTTTGGTTTATCAACGAGCCCAGCAGTTTTCCAAAGAATGATGGACATGGTTCTAAAAGGTTTGGAGCTAGAAGACGAAGTTTTCGTGTACATTGATGACATCCTAGTAGCCACAGAGTCAATAGAGCGACATTACGTAGTTTTACGGAGAGTGTTTGAGGCGCTACGTAAAGCAAACTTGCGGCTAAAGCCACAAAAATGTACCTTCTTCCGAGAAAGCGTGTCGTTCCTCGGACATTACATCGACAAAGACGGAGTGAGGACGGACCCAGAGAAGATACGCAAGATCGCTGAGTATCCGTTACCCACAAGTGCCGCAGAGCTAAGGACATTCTTGGGAATGGCCTCTTATTACAGAAAGTTCATAGCGGGTTTCGCAAAAATGACCTGAAGCTGGACCCCTCAACTTAATCAGCGTTTCCAGGATCTCAAAAAAGCTCTAGCAAGTGCGCCTGTGCCTTGCGCAACCTAAACGTTCCAGCAGCTGAGAACGGCAGTAGGCCATTCATAATTTATACTGACGCATCTGGTGAAGGGCTTGGAGCGGTGCTTTGCCAGGAGGGAGACGACCGATTTCTCCACCCTATAATGTTCGCGTCAAAGGGCTTGTCAAAAGCAGAAAAGAATTACCACATCACTGACCTTGAAGCGCTCGCCTTAGTATTTGCGCTAAAGAAGTTTCACTTTTTTGTGTACGGGTTGCGGACGATAGTTCGCACTGATCATCAACCTTTGACGTGTTTATTCAAAAGGACGAATGTGTCCGCACGCGTTCTAAGATGGGCCTTGGAAGTTCAAAAGTATAAGCTGGAGATTGAGTATGTCTCGGGCAAAGCCAACGCAGTGGCTGATGCTTTATCGAGGAGTGCGGCAAAACTGTCAGAGGGGAACCTACTATCCCAGAAAACGACATGGTTATTTGTGAAGTGAAGGAGCAGGAAAGCGAGTGGCTGCAGGAGCTAAAAGAAGATCCTGACTATAAACAGCTCATCACCGATGTCTTGCAAAAACAAGATCATAAGGACGTTAAGCTCCCAAGAAATGCGCAGCGATTCAGGGTTGCAGACTTCTGTATCGATAACGGTGACCTTAAAATATGGTGTGGAAATGCAGCAGTAAGAGTGGTACCGAAGTCAAAGAGGAGAGCATTATTTGAGGAAGCCCATGGGGGTGCAATGGCGGGACACCTCAATGGACGTAAGCTGTATCGGCAACTTAAAAAAAGAGCATTTTGGGAAGGTATGGAAACCGATATTGCGAAATGGTCTAAAGAGTGCTCGAACTGCTTTTTGTCGAGAGCCCACGAAAAACTTACTCCTCCGCTGAAGCCATTCACTACAAGCGCTCCGTTTGAACTAATTGGATTAGACTTGGTGGAATACGGGTTAACGGAAAGAGGCAACAAGTACGCTCTCGTGGTAATTGACCACTTTTCAAAATTTGTGGGAGCTTATCCGATTCCAAATAAATCTGCGGAAACAGTGGCTCGCGCGTTATTTGAGAGATGGATATGTGGCGGTTGCAGATGGCCCAGACAAATCCACTCAGACCAGGGCCCTGAGTTTATCAACTCCGTTCTTGTCAGGCATCTGTGAGATTACAGGAATCGAACAGTCAGCAACAAAAGGGTACAACCCCCGCGAGAATGGCATGACAGAAAGGGCCATTGGAACATTAACTAGAATGTTGAGGAAGAAAAGTATAATTCCATGTGATTGGGACCTAATGTTGCCCATGGTAGTTTTTGCGTATAACTCTTCTCCACATGATGCCATAGGAGAGAGTCCATTCTATTTACTGCATGCGTTTGATCCGAATTACCCATCAAATGTGATTCCTCGCGATGAACTCTCTTTCAACCACGTGGACACTAATGATTACAAGCATGAGCTGCTGGCAGGCATTAAATTGGCACAGGAATGCGCTAAAGAGCTGAATGAAAAGTATAAGACGCGCATGAAGGAGGGATATGACAAGAGGAATAAGATTGATGTGGATAAACTCCCCAAAGTGGGTGACAGAGTATTTCTAAAGCTTCCCAGGGAAAAAGTTGGGAAAAAGTACCCTAAGTTGAACGAACCTTGGGGAGGGCCATACCGAGTACTCGAAACAAGTGAAAATTCGGCGCTAATATCTAATATAAACGAAAAAGAGGAGCCCATTCGAGTTCCATTTGACGCGGTTATTGTGGTTCCGCTTGAAATTAAAAGTCCAGCAAGAGCAACCACAACAAGAAGGAAAAAAAGGCGTCAGGCAAAAGTTAACAATGTTGTTTGCAGAGCTACGACGAACGGCGACGATACGAGCCCCCTCGGTCTATTCTTCCGCTGTCCAGGAAGATATGGACAAAGTGACGATGGATACGTATACTCCTGCACGATTCAAGGAAAAACATTCAAAGATGTCGTCCCGACAGCATCAGAAGCTATAGGAAATATCCACTTCGATTCCATTTTCGCTCTTGCTCGTTTGATTTCTATATACGAACACGAGAGGAGCGAAGAGCGCAGACGTTTTTTGATGTTAGACTCGAAACATTGTAGTATTAGCAGTTCCGGTGTGCAGAAGGCATACCTATTTTATAAGAAATATTGTGACCATGTCTTTCGGACCCTAACCCTTCATGACGGTTCGTTCCTATGTCTCGCGCACGATGGTGGAACTGGTCTACCATTGGAGGAGCTCAACCAGGCCACCAATGATGCTGTCCGATACGCCAAGCTCAATGATTGGGACGAAATGGTCAGAAGTGAACGTATCAAAATCCTAATGATACTGCCGGACAGCTTCCGCACCGTCAATAGTGCCTTTAAGGAGAATCCGGATATTGAGCGCCGCTTATACGGCAGAATCAACGACATCGGAGGACTCCTGGAGAGCTCCACAGCCCGCACCTGCATACTCGTGGGGCCAACGACAGCTGCCCCATGTCCCAAACGAGACTGGTGCAAGCTGGCATCAGCAATGGCCGCAGCAGCACGTATGGGCATGAAGATTGTAGCAGTAGCGCCACCGCGAGGAGATGAGGCGTATTTGCAGAATAGAGCTGATATGAATGACGCTATCAATCTTGCCAAGTCTGCCGCAGTCCTAATGAAGCAAGGGCTATGCAGCTTAATTCCAGCAATTGAGTCCTCGCAAGAACCTTCACATGGTCCCGGCGCTCATCCAAGGAGTTCCACATCAGAAGCATATTCGGAAGAAGTTCTAAAAGAGTACTTCGAAGCGCTGCGAAGTTACGTCAAAGCAGAAGTGGATCTTCCACCATTGATATCAGCTGCTAAGGGGCGCCACTCCCGGACGCGCCAATATTTCAAGCAGAAAAAAGAGGCACACAAATCAGTAACCGGTGGAGTTTCAAAAAGCAACTCAAGGCACAAATATCCTTTCTTCAGGAATGATCACCATAGGACGCACGCAAATCCAATGATGATGACGCCACCACCCTTCCCGATTCTACAGTACCCGCCATGGATGGTTCAGTCAACACCGACAGCACCGAACCGAGGCTATTATTCACGTGGAAGAGGACGTGGACGCCGCGGTTATCCCCAGAGACCCCGTTAGGCCGTAGTCCCTTAGTAATCCCAATAATGTTGTAAAAATTTTTTTGTTCAGTTATTCGTTAGTTCTTGTTGTCATAAATTGTATAAAAGCAGTAGTTTGACTAAGCATTGTATTACAGAAGCGGCAGGGACGCCGCTTCCCGCGGGGGGAGGCATGTTACCGTAGGTCGCATTGGGTGGCCTATCATATGACCACACGGGGTAGATCCACGCCGACCACCAATAGTGTGGTCTGCCTGGACTCTCCGTGACCTCCCTACACAATCGTACCGTTAGGCGGGAACCCTCCTGTATAAAAGCCACCCAAGTAGTAAGGTGGGGGTCTTCTTCTTCCGATCGTCGTCTTCACCGAGCCGCCGCCTGCCGTCACTCTTGGAGTGACGAGACACCTTCCTTTCACCTCTCCCATCCCTAATATCAACCCGCTCAACCTCTCGCTCCTCTGGTGTGAGAGTCTGTATTGTTTTCTATATTATTCCTAATAAATATTCCTAACACTCCTAGTGTCCACTCCAAGGGGAAACTAGGACCATCCAACCCCTCACCCGTCAGGTCGCTAGTGAATCCTGACACCGCCGGCTTCCGAGGAGAACCTCGTTGACTCCCGGTGTGAGATACTAAGGGGGACGGTCCGCTACTTATGTCCGGCTTCTGAATCATGGAGCGTGA